GAAGGGTGCGGGCGGGGGAGCCGGGGCCGGGCGCCGCCGCCGCCGCCGCCGCCGAGGCTTCTGTCTCCCTGGCTCGCGCAGCGGCGGCAGCAGAGGTCGCGCACAGATGCGGGTGAGACTGGCAGGGGGAGGAGGCGGAGGAGGGAAGGAAGCTGCATGCATGAGACCCACAGGTAAGACCCAGAGCCCCGGAAGGGGCTTCGCATCCCGGGGAGGCGTGCGCAGGCCCAGGAGGGGGACTTGGTGCCTGGTTCTGCGCCCCCGGGGAGGAATTTTTTTTTTTTGACAGCGCAGAGCAATTTCATTGGGGAACGGGCAGTAGGATCCATCCCCATGCTGGGGAAAATCAGAGAAGTATCTGGGGGCATCCGGCGCCACATCGTGAGATTACTAAGAGAGACCTTTCTAGGCCCGGGGAAAAGTGTTTTTCCAGCTCGGAGACGCTGGGAGGCTTTAGACTTTACTGTCACGGTCACAGCCGCTGGATCCCGGGGACCGGCGCAAAGCCAATATGTGCTACCCCCTCCTCCATCCCTCCCACACGCGCAGCATCCCGCGGCGGCTGTTACTCGGTGTACACGCGCTGGGGGGAAGCTGGGGGATCGCGCTGTGGGAAAGGGGCGGGGGCCGCGTGGGGGAGGACCAGGGATGAAACCGGGGAAGCCGGGGTTCCCGGTCCCGGGGCTGAGGAGGGGGAGCGTCGCCCCCGGAACCCCGGCAGCCTGGGGTATTGTCGTGTTCGCTCGCGGTTGCAGACTCTTGCACGCCGGATGCCCTCTGTGGATGAAAGATGTATTATGGAATGAACCCGAGCCATGGAGATGGATTTCTAGAGCAGCAGCAGCAGCAGCAACAGCAGCAGCCTCAGTCCCCCCAGAGACTCTTGGCCGTGATCCTGTGGTTTCAGCTGGCGCTGTGCTTCGGTCCTGCACAGCTCACGGGAGGTGAGTGACCCCGCTGAGACCAGGAGGGCCCAAGAAGGCAGAAACGGGGAGCCTGGTTGGCAGGACAGCCCGGCCACTCCCCCGTACATCCAGACTTCTGGGGGGTACCTGAGAGCTAACGAGCCCCTGGGTCCCAGCCTAAGACTACCTTCTTCCACACCCCTGGAGTTCCCAGGAAATCGTGTGTGGAGCCCGCTTAGCTTCACACACCCACCTCCTGTCTGGAGCTCCCACCGGGCACAGCCTGGCTTCTCTGAAGGAAAAACAATGAGCCTGGCCCATATTCCCACTTTGGGGGAGAGAAAGAGAGAGAGAGAGAGAGAGAGAGAGAGAGAGAAATAAGGAGAGAGAGAGAGAGAGAGACAGAGAGAGAGAGAGAGACAGAGATGGCCTGTTTGTGGGTTACCTGTGTTTGTGACCTCTGACCCCTTATTTATACCCTCAGCAGACAGACAGGTCAGGTTTCAGTTACTTGAACCACCTTTGTGGATGGGAAGGATTTGAAGGCCTGGCGGGACTGACTGCAGGACAGGCTTATTAGAAAGTTAACTTTCTCTTTCCTTGGAAGGTGGTGGTGTGTTCCCTCATGTCTGTGCATGTGGGCGCGGAGAGGTTTTCTTTCAGATGTGTTTTTAGAGGATTGTTTGGCTTCTCCAGGTCTGATTTACAGGGAGGAGTAAAATCAAGTGCTTTTCTATGAAGTTTATTAGCCGAAATAAAAGTGGTAGCCTCGGTGGCCATCGGTGGCTCACCTATAACAAGTTTGGTTCTGCGGGGCAGGGCTGTCCTTGGCTTGTGGTCGAGGAGGACAGATGGACTGCCCATCTGAGTTTCGGAGCCCGCTTATCGCTGTCCATCACCGCCGTCCATTCCAGATTTTCTGAGAGCTTGCTAACACGTTCGTAGAAGGACAGAGCTGGGCTACTGCTGATATAGAAACCAATTATAATTGGAGGAAAAACAGGTATTGATTAATATATATAAACCATTTTAGTGTGTAAAAATATTGCTGTTTCAGAGAAATCCAAGGTGAAGATGAAAAAAGAAAAACTGAACAATAATTAGCAATGTGGGGGAGGGAATAACAAGTTGGGCTTTAACACGGAGGAATCAATAACTCAAGCCTTCCGCTTAGAGATCTGAACGACGCCCTGAGTGTCCAGGAGCTTTCTGTGATGTTCCTGTCTGTCAGAATCAGTGAGAAAACACTCGCTTTAGGTGGGGACCCATTTTCTGTGTTTTTTTTGTTTGTTTGTTTTTTGTTTTGACAAGGGGTAACTTTTTTGGTTCTCTTATTTTATAGAAATGTCTCTGAGGCAGGTTTCCTCTTCTTAGAGGACCAGGTCAAATAGGATGGCAGGGAAATACCTGTGTGGCCGCCAGGGCTCTGCTCACAGCCCCTGTCCAGCCCGGACATTAGCTCTGCCTGGCGGGCGAGGGGAGCGGGCGGGGCAGCACGAGCCTGCGTCATCTCCTTCCTCCTGCTCTTCTCTGCCCCCAGTTCTAGCTCTCATTCCCGCAGACCCGGCGCACGTGATTTTCCATCCTCTCGGCCCGTTTCTCCCATCTAGACAATAGATTCATCAGGGTTCATCTATGGATGTTTCCAGTGTTATTATTGGAAGTGCGAGGTCTGAACACAGCTCAGATTTGAAGGCCGGGCTCTTGGTTCGGCCATTTGGCTCAAAGATCTCAGAGCTCGGTGTACGGCGTGGCCCCTTCGGTCTCATGTCAGTCACCCATCCGCTGTATGACACGTCTTTTATGCCTCTCTTCCGAGGGGAGAAGTTATCAAGCAACACGGTCGAGAGCCTTGAATAAGAAGCTGGGAGTAAGGGTGGCCTGTCACCACCCAGTTGCAGAGAGCTCCCTTTCTAGGTGTTCGCATGCTGCAGAGAGGCTAGCCATCGGCTTTGTTTCATCTCGAACTCCTTCAGGTTGAGAGTGTGATTTCTGGAAGAACATTGATCATTTCAGAATCCCTCTAGGAATAAACAGTTTGGGGGGAGAAGGGTGGTGGGGAATGTTTTATGGAGCTCACTATACGGAGGTGTCTTCCTTAGAGAAGAAACCCACGCAGAGGCTCCGGGATGACGATAAAAGGAAATTCGCCTTCGTTTTAGACCCGCGCTTCTAAAATCTGAACGTGCATAGAGCCACCTGGGGTCTTGCTAAAGACAGATTCTGCTTCCCTTGGTCTGGGGTGGGGCCCGAGGGTCTGTGGTTCCAACCAGCTCACGGGTGATGCCCTTGCTGCTGGTCCGAGGACCACACTTCATTCGCGATGCGGTAGGC